TGGGCTGAGACGTTTCAGGAAGCAAGGGTTTGTGGGGATTACGTTTGGGATCCTGGAGCTGGGAGGTTTTTATGGTGATCCAGGAGGGAAGATGAGATCCCCAGGCCTAGATCCAGGCTTTAGCAGTGGCCAGCACTTGGAAATTGCCCAGGTGTGCACAGCGATTAAGGAAAGGATGTTTGCTAGGGGAATTAGGTCCTGCTGGGAAAGAGGAACAGACCGCGTTCAGGTGTCAGGTGAATGCCCCCAGAAATCAGAGAGGAGTCAGGCGAGCTCCTACTGGGATAGGAACAAACGGTGTTCAGGAGTCAGGAGGACTTCCCCAGAATCTAAAGTGGAGTCAGGTGGTGAGTATGCTGGAGGCACACTAAGACAGCCAGGGAGGCTGGGAGAGAACTGGTGAGGCTAGGAGAGCCGTGAGCCTGAGGGGCCACCAGTACAAGTGTGGGACATCACTTCAAAGAGGACCAGTGGGTCAGAAGTGCCAATGTTTAAAGTGTAAGCCAGGAGGCTATTATAGTGTTGTCTTGAAGCCTTGCACGAATGTCATGTTGAGCAACCCCTGCGAGGGTATCCAAGATGGATATATGAACTAAGATATATATATATAGAAAGGAAAAAATGCAACAAACTTTGAAAAAAACATTTCCCCTTATTTTCTGTTACAGTAAAATGTCAGGGCAATATGCATACATCCCTGAAATGAATTTTTGGAAACTTTAGTAGACATCCCAAGGAGATCCTTTTGCCACAGTTTTTGATGAATGAAGAAGCATGCTGGTATTGAGGGGATTAAAACATGGAGCTTGGTAATAGTTAACTAAATACAGCACATTAGGTCATACACATAGGGATTGGGAGGTGAAGGGGTTAAAGTACAAGTCATATATAGTGGCAGGGTCGAGATGAAGGGTTTAATGTGCAGATACAAAATAGGCCCCTTTCACACAGCTGGTCCAATCGGGTCCACCTGTCAGTTTTTCAGGCGGACCCGATTGGATGCCCAATGCAAGTCTATGGGCAGCCATGTGTAAACAGATGAGCATCCGTTTACACTCGGTTACCCCCCTTCCCCTCCAGCTGGCTCCAGAGAAACAGACAGATCAGAGATCAATTTAGTCGGACAAGATAATGCTGGATTGGGGGTAATCTGATGTAAACGGACACGTGTCCGTTTACATCAGATTCCCCATAGACCAACATGGGGTCCGGCAGTTTCCGTTTTTTCCTCCAACGCAAGGAGGAGAAAAAAACTGTAAAGACACGGATTTCACAGTGGTGGCATCCACTCCATACTGCTTTGATCAAGAAAGGATCTGTGCATGAATCCTCTCCTGATCAGCCTGTGTGATAGGAGCCTTACACGGCCTCTGTGTACTAAGCCACTCCAGGACAGCTCAGTGCACTGATATTAGCAGAGTCTGTGGGTGCCCAATCTCTATTTCTGGAATTACATTTTAAAACATCATTCCAGAAATAGATTTTTTTTCTTCAATATAACGGGAAGTAGGCGGCTATACTGCAACTTTCTACAGCTATCTTTTTTAATCAACTTCAATCTGCAGTGCTGTTTGCTGACTGCTATGGTACTTTTTGACCTGGTCTTCCCTGTACAACCATGCTACAACCATACTATTCTCTACTAAGACAGCCACACAAAAACACAGGGCAGAACACAGTATGGTATCTTACAGTCATAACTAGTTAATAGTACTTTACTCTCTGCTTGCATTTTTGGGCACACCATCATTTTGTGCTCATCCCAATACACAGATGACATCACACTATTAAAATGATTCTTCTTTTCTTTTAACAGTCTTGTAAATGTAAACACCTAAATTGATTTTCACCTCTACCATTACATTGGACATTTTTTTTCCTCCAACCCATTACGGTATATCTTTTTTCAGTAAGTGTAATAGATGTCTCAATTATTTTCAGAGAATGCTTTCAGCTCTAACAGACTTAAGACTGCAAAGAGATCAAATTTCCTCTATGATTATGATGAGATTCAATTTACTGGAGACAGCCAGTAAGTGTCCATTCAAATTCCATTTTACTTCATGCCCACATGCAATTGGTGAACTGTTTTATATTTTCATATAGGTTAAAAAAACCTTTTTTTGTTAATGTTTTTTATGACATTGTACCAAGTATATAGCTTATTCATATTTTATAACTTGGTTCATTGTGTTTATTTAATAGGACTCTTAAGTAGGGATGAGCCGACATATAGTGTGCTGCAGGGACTTAGCTGTGAGACATGATTGGGCAGAGTCACCGTGACTTTGTCCAATCATGGCTCTATATGTGTACTGAGCCCTGACTGGCACAGTCTTGCACCTGACCTGAGGTCAGGTGTAAGACTGTAGCCAATTACCGTTTCGGACGGCGCAGTGCATTGTGGGATGTTCCGTGGTCGAACAGACCGCGGACATCCCTTAATGTTCGGCGTTCAGCGAACGCTAGAACAGGCTATGTTCGAGTCGAACCTATGTTCGACTCGAACATGCAGCCCATCCCTACTCTTAAGTCCTTACCTTTACAGTGCCACTAAACCCTCCAGCTAAAAACAGCTTTTTAATCCAGCGTGATATCCTAAACATGGCCTCTTTATGGTAATCAGCAAACAATGTTTAAATACCTAATTTTTCTAGCAGCATTGTGTTTGTACTCTTCTATTCATGAAACACTTTTCCTAAACATCTGGTTTCTAGAGGTAAGAGCAGTGAATGGATATTACACTGCTCTCCACACACTACAATTCAATGTGCCATGAATTAATGAATTAATGCTGGTACCTGCATGGGCAGTGCTCTGGTGAGTGGGGAGTTTTCAGAGTTTGTATGTGCCAGCATTGGATGTGTTGGTACATGCAAATGTAGTCCAGATTGGCAACACACAGAGTAGGGTGGCTACAGCCCACATAAAGTGGGGCTATGCAAAGCCAGCACAGTCACCCTCTCAACAGAAGTTTATTCAGAAGAGTTTTTGGAATTGTGTTATGGAATATACCAGCTGAACTTGCTATTCAAAAATGGCCATATTGGAAGGTATGGAATATGATTTTTTAGATTGAATGTATCTACAAACAAGGCAAATACTTACTGTAAATACACAGCTGTGAGATTTACACAACTCTGCTGCACAGCCTTGGCTGGCAAATCCAAAGACTTGATGTATTTCTTCTATAGTTAAGTAACACTTACAGATCTTTTTCCACTGCCAGTCTGTGATTGGACTGTGAAAGGAGAAGCAGCAGACTTATGAGCTGATATCCCTGGCACTCTGCATTATCCTCCTATTAGCATGTAATTTTTAGCACATGAGCATTTAAATACAAACTGTTGTCACTTTGTGCAGCTTCTCCCACTCCCAGCCTGAGCTCTGCTATACAGAGGAAATCAATAGGATTAAACCAGGTCATAGATACTCACACTCTTGCATTTCAAATATACATTTAAATTGGTGCTATCAGAAAACTAAAATTAGATAAAAGGTTTTCCCTGTAAACGCCACATGCTGCTCCACTGAAAGCCACTCCATTGAAGAGAAATCTTTCTCAGAAGTCTGCTTAGAAATCAACACTGAAGGGAAT